GGGGGGGGGGGGGGGGGGGGGGGGGGGGGGGGGGGGGGGGAGAAAGCATTTTCTTGAAAAACAATGGGACTTTTCCTGAGGAAACAAGTGTTCAGCTAACAATGAGCCTCATTTTGATGTCATGTTCTATTGTAAAATTGGGATAAAGCTATGCCAGGAATGTTGAGATAGTAATCAAATCATGCCAAAACACGTACAATACCAAGTGTTAAGGTGGTGACATTGATGGGGCAGGGGAGTTAAAAAGTTTTGGTAACAACCATGTGCTTTTAAATAATATTTTACCATCCTGGATGAAGGGAGACCTGGATTTCACAACAAGTGAAAGAAAACCATGTGCTTTTGAGCAAAGGTTGGTATGACCACAGCTAGTCAATGAAAATGTGCCTCTCTGAGAGGTTTTCATATTTGGTCTCTGTCAGACTTGCTTCTCCGTGCAAGTGGTCTGAAGACTGACTTAAGAGCAATGGGTATTTTTTTTTTTATCTCTCTGATACTGGATGAGTTGCTGTCCCTGTTGCCCATGCCCAAGACTGCTGGCCATGGCCCCTAGATGTGGTGCTGGAGAGGACAAACAGGTAGGCAACATATGTAGGGCTGAGATGTCCATGCCAAATGCTGTGCTGAATGGTGAATAAAAAAAAAAAAAAAAAAAAAAAAAGTGGTTTTAAAAACAGTAATAGGACACTTGCCCAGATTATGCGAAAGAAGCACAAGTTGGGGGTTTTTTTTTGGTCCTCTGAGTGAGGAGGTTTTCAGATTTTTCTCCAAGCCTAGGAAAAAAAAGGTGTGGATACACTGGATGTTCCTATGACCCAGAAGAAATTTGGCCAGCTCTAGCTTTTTAGATCAGCACTACTGGGAATGGATATAAACAAACAGACCCCATACAGCTCATTTTACTTTCTGGATTCATTCTCTTATCCCACACTACCCTTTGGCCTTCATGATATATTCCCATACTGTGAGGAGCCACCGAGGACAAACCAGTTAAACACATGATTTTTGTTAAACAAACCAGTCTCACTACCTGCAGGGATACCGTGTTCCATGCTAGAAGTTATTCAGAGAAGTGCTTAAGTACTTTGTTAGACAGAAGCTTCAGCAAGTAATGGAAAGCCTACAAACAGCTCCCTTAAGACCCCATCAGATCCTCCAATTTATTTCTTTAAGAATGAACACAGACATCTTTTTTAAAGGTTTTATCCATATAGCTTTGATTTTTTTTGCTCTTATTTTCTTTTACAGGTTTTATAAATAATGTTTACTAGTATAGTACACCTCAAGAGAGAAATACTCTATTTAAACCTAGACAGATAAAAAGTTTGTGTAGAAACCAAACAGTAAAGTATTTTGAAGCCTTTGTTACTCTCAATATTCTTAAAACTCTGTATAAACTTCTCAACATTTTCTATTGCTTCAGCTATTCAGCAGGAAACAGTCTAATATAGTTGGGATATTAAATCTTTCCCCATTTGTGTTTGCATGGAAAAAAAAGAGCTGTTAATAATAAATAGAAAATTCTGAAGCAGAAATAAAAATAGTAACTGGATAACCTGTGCACAAAGCACTAATATCCCAAGGCACTTAGTTTTGAATCACAATGTTTTGGTTTGAGAACAGCTTCTTCTTGTTAAATCAAGAAGGTTTAGAAACATGAAAGAGAAATAATTAATTTTATAATTTCTTTTAAATGAGGATGCCCAATTTCTGATTGAGAGGCTATTTATCCTCTGTGCTGCCAAGACAACTCAGCTACTGCTCCCCTGTGGGCTCCACACCACAGTGACCTTCCCCACTTCAGAAATTTCAGGTTTTCCTCATTCTGAGATGGATGGTGCCTCACCTTCCAGTAAGCTGTGTCCTTCAGATCTGCAAGTAGATATTTAGTCTCTTTATAACCATCTATCTTTCACTTGCTTTATGACTGACGGTGAAAGATGTATTTTGATTCAGGCTTTTTTACTTATTAATAATTAATTCTGCTGGGCAGGACTGAAAGTGTGATTATACAGTGTTCCTGGTCTTTGGTTAGCAATCACAGCGCTGTATTAAAGAATAAACCCATTATAATGCAGGTGCATCAGCCAAATACAGAAAACTGCTGTACTGCACCCCATCACTTGGATCCCTACCTGAATGAACAGTTACATGGCCAATCCTGTTCTAAAGAACTGGTACCACATTCCAACTAAATTACTAATTATAGGACTTGTAACTCATTTAACAAGCACATATACTCGGATGCAAGACAGAGGACTTAAATCTGATGGCGGTGGTTCAGTTTCAGGGTGTGCACATCTGACCTGATTTATGTGTTGGTCATAGGCTACCTGGCACAGAAAGCTCAGAATTACAGTACTAGTGGTATAACTAGTCTTGTTTGGGTGATCTTAGCATGAATTGAGCCTACACAGTGATTGTGGTCTATTCTATACTGCAGCCTCTGCCACTTATTCTACAGAGCAGATATAAATTCAGAATTATTGCAGGTCATGGTCATCAAACACCCGCTTATTGGACTTTGCAAAGGTCTAGCTGCAGAACGGGCACTCCAGAAGATGGCTGTGCACATGGGTCTCATACTGATTTGTCTCAGTATCTTCAGGAAATACACCATTGCACATGGGACATTTCCTTAGAGAAGCCTGAAGCACAAAGCAAATGCAAATAAAGTCAGTTAAAAACTTATATTGAAAGAGAAGAAACAGAAAAGTCTAGTAGCCAGATATTATCACTTTTGGACAAGTCTTTCTGACTTCTAACATTCTCAAGCTTTCAAATGTCTCCAGGCTTCTCTAAATAGCATTTAAAAGTCAAGAGGTCCTGTGAGGTGCTCTGACCTTCCATCCTTCGTAGCATATGTCCATGTCTCCAGTACGAAACAAGGTATTGAGCAGTTGCATGCTGCTCATTCTGACATTATAAGCAGCTGCCAAGAGCTGGGCCTTAAATATTAAGGTCAACAGTTTCCTTTCTCTTCCTTGATATATATAAGTCTCACTAATTCTATGAGTCAAGCATACATTTCTGTTGTCTGAGGACTAAACCAGTACGTAGACAATTGGCTACAGAGCTGAACTGGGAGCTTTCTAGTTCAAACCACCAGTTCATGTCCATAAACACTAATCCATGTCCAGTTGTGTCCATTTTACTTACTATGTCTGCAGCTTCTGCCAACAGGTTTATTCCTGGAGCTGGAAAAAAAAGAAGTCCATTTAGCCACAGCAAAATGATTAACAATGTGATGTGCTGATAACTAGTAGTCCCTGAAACATGAGGATGTGGCTCTGGATCTAAACCTCTGTATTTAGGACTATGGAAACTGGACATAAGCCACAAAACTAGCAGTCTCACTGAATAAAACTAGCTAATAGTTGTCTCTCTTGGCAGAAAATCAACAGACAGCTGATCACTTAAGTCAACTCTCAGCACCTGGCAGCATTTTGCAGCTGCCAAGTCATCTGCACACATGCAAAGCTGCACAGAGGTGCTGCTAATAATGTCTTTTCTACAGCATTCAATTCGAGAGGGAGGATAATTTGCTGAGACTTTAACTGCCACGTATTTGTGGTTTCAGACAGAACGCCAAGTAATCTCACCATAATATGGATTTCCAAACAGAAGATCTCCTAGTTCAGAAGCTGGAACTGAAGTTTGAGTTTGTGAAGAAACCTGCGAGAGAAGCCTCAGGAGCCCGTTATTCTTTTCTTTTAGTTTCTGCAAAGGGACAGAAGGTCAGAGTGAATGTCCAGAAGCTCAGGAGACCATTTCAGAGAAAAGTCATACTTTGCACTAAAACAGATCCTCTGATATGAGAATCAAAATTGCTCTGAGCTTCTTTTAGGTAGCTCAGTGTTAGTCCTGCTTGACCAAATGGGAAAGTGTGGTAAGGAGGGGCAAGGATCCGTTCTGCTCAGAAAGGCAGACTGGATGATCACAATAGAGTAATGCACTTTAAAACACAGAAGATTATACTGAAGTCATGCAGAGTAAGGAAAAAAATCTGAGCAGTCATTGCTTAGACTGGACAAAAACGCTATGTCCATTTAAATGCGTAAGTCCATTCATTTCAATGGTGTCAGAATTAAGGAAACATTAGGGGGTTTTGAAAATCCCCGTGCTGTTATGGGTCAACCGATCTATTCTGTGGTGGGGGAAAAAGGTGCAAGTTTTTGGACCCTTCCTCTTAGGTTGTAGACGTGACAGCAACAACATGCTGTAAGCGTACCCCCAGAGTCATCTGTACGTGCCTGCAGACAGCCCAGCAGCTGGGTTTGGGTGATGGAGGCACAATTAGTGACCCGTTTGGTAGAAGGGTTAATGGAACTGAACACTAGACTGAGCGATTAGTGTCATATTCAACACAGGAGAAAGGCGAGGGAGTCGTGCCACGTTCTCACCCGCTTTTCCTCATCAGCTTCATTCTTTCTTGCCTGCAGAACCTGAACAAAACGCTTCTGCTCCTCAAGTTCTTTCATTGAGTTCTGTTGCTATGAAAGAAGAGTGTTATTTGGGAAACTGGTAAATAAAACAGTGAGAGATCCAGTGCTTGGAGCTGCCTCATGCTGCACCAAGAAATAACCCTTCACTTTCAATGGGAGTCTTACCATTTCATAGCTTGACCCCTAGGATATCCCCACGTCACCACTCACGCTCTATTTTCATTACGAGCTGTGAGATGACACATGACCTCTGAAGGGTCAAACAAAGAGGGAGGTTGAAGAAAAGAAACACAAACAGCTGAAAAATCCACCCTGGCAGGTGAAAGCTAGCCAAGTCTGCCAGGCTTCCTGGTGCTGCAAGGCTTGCATTGATGCTGGACAGCTAATACATCCTTCGGAATTAATCTTGTAGCTGACTCTTGAATTCAATCAGTAAATTAGGTAAGATGGAGCACTCAGGGATTCTGCAGTCAAAGTACCACTCTGAGAATCCTGAACATTTGGCATCACAGCAGAGGTAATCACATCATCTATTTTAGGCATCTAATTTTCAATGCCGAAGTGGGGGCAGAGCCTCCAAAAGCCTCCTGAGTAGCACAACAGAGGGCAAAGCACCTTTAGAAGGTCACTCAGGGCAACAGGCTAAAGATGATGTGACGGCCTCAGTCATTGCCAATGATGGTTTCTTCAGTGGAGAGAAATGCCACAGCCTGCTGCCCTTTTGTATCTTTCACATTCCTTCAAGGAGTGATTTCCAGGGCTGAGGTTTGTCTATTATTTCTAAAAGGTCTGCAGAAGCTGCCTAAGAAAAGCAAGACTTTTGTCCACAAACTTGAATTTGTTATACACATAGACATCAGATGAGATATACTATAGTATTAAAAAAAAAGTACAATTAAAAAAATATAATAAATATCTAGTATTTTAAAAAATATAAATCAGGGGATTTATTTTATCCCCTGAGCTGACTCAAAAGAGATCAAGACAGAGACTGAATTTTTCTGCTACAGAGAATCAGAATTACAAAGATTTTTCTTCCAGAACTAATATGTACGTGTATATTAGAAGAATATATGTAGACTGTAAGAATCTGTCAGATGGTGTGTTCACAGAATCACCTATGAGGACACTCACGCCACCACGGACACTTCTCTTTCTGTCACAGAATCCCTTCTATTCTTTTAAGATTCAGCAATATTCGTACATGTTCACGCTCAGGATGCCTCAGTCTCTCTGCCCTGGCTCCTCCAAGCACCGCGATAATCAGGGAAGGCTTTACCTGTTGACTTCGACTCATGCGTAACTGCTGATTCTCCTTCTTTAAATGTTCGAGCTTCTTTGCCTTGTCACGGTCCACGAGAGACAAGTTTTCCACTTCTTTCTCATAACTCAACACCTGAGACTAAGGAGAGAGAAGAGTGGGCAAAAAGTGAAAATCAAACAGCACAAGCACCTTTGGCTTCAGAAGGCAAAGCTCCAGAAACTATGATCGCTCGAATTTTTTTTTTTCTGCAAACATTTTTTCATTAAAACCTTTGTAGAAACTGGGGATATACTGGAGCCGATGTATTCATCAGAACACAGTATTCATTCATACATTCTGTGGAGAGCTAGGTTTCAACACAACACTTCAAGTCTGGGAAGTCAGAGGAAAGACAGAAAAACAGAGGCTCTACAGCCAGATGGTTAAAGCATCATTCTGGGTCTCCTGTGTCCCAGACCTAACAACTCAGCTATTTTCTATCTACTTTCTCCCTTCACACACCTCCCAGCTAGAAGTCTTGTTTTCACTGAAGTACTGAATACAATTATCAAATGTTTTCAAAACCAGAAGTGTTTTCTGCCTGAAGCATTAGCTAGCAGGAGGTAAACAACAGCTGAATTCTGATCAACTTCATGAGCATGCAAAGGGGATGTTTTTCGGGAATAAAATCCTTTCAGTTTCTCTTAGCACATCACCCTCAAACGTTCCTTCCAGAATAGAGATTCTTGAGGTTTCCTGGAGGTCAAATCATATCAAAGGTTGACATTTTCCTAAAGAACCCACATAACTAAAAAAAGAAACTCATACACCACCTACTGGCTCAAGATTGTTCACTCCTCTGTCAGAGGGAAACTGATTCCATCACAGACAGTTCATAAAAGCAAAGGTGAGCAGCTCTATGTTTGCTACCTGCAGCTGATCCATGTGATCCAGGGCTGTTTTCAGTCTCGTGTCCAGTTGTTCCTTGTCAGAGGTCACATTCTGAATTTGCGCTTTGAGCCTACTCAGAACAAATCAAAACACACCACACTTTCACAGATGGAAATTTAATCCATCAAGGCAAGGTGCTCACAGGAAATCCTGTTTTGAGATGTGCTGTAAAGACACTTACTCGTGCAGTTCTGCCTTTCTACAGTCATCCAGCTCCTTTAGATGTTGCTTTTCCTTTTCCAGGGCATTCAGCTCCAGCTCCAGTTTCTCTGTGTTGCTCCTCAGAGACACTAAATTGTCCTGAAAATCATAGTGAGGTCAACAGGAGGTAAACGGGACCCAAGCACTAGTCCTGCTCTGCACTGGAACTGCAAGAACCCTCAAATGCAACACTGCCAGGCAGCCCGGAGGAAAATGTCTCCTTTGCATCCTGACTACGCTTTCAGCCCCTCAGGCATTTACATGAAGCTCTGAGCAAAACTTCAGGAAGAAAAGGTAACAATAATGTGACTTCAGGACAGCCTACAAAACATTTTTGAACACTCTCCTTCCCGTCCATTCCTGGCTCCTGTGTCTGAAGATGTCTCCTGTTCATCATTATCCCTCTCTCTGCAGCAGAGGTGTCGTATGATTTGGTAAAGGATTAAACAGATAATATGGGCAGAAACCTCTTAAATTTTCTCCTGGAAGCATACAGTGGAACAAGACCTGACCCAGTCCCTCTCCCCTCTTCCAGGCTTACAGCTTCATTCTGACTTCTTATACTAACTTCTTAGTTTACCTGTGTGTTCCTGAGCTCTTCCTGCAGATCGCTGTTTTGTTTCTGGAGACCTGCACAGCTTGCTTGCAGATCCTCCTTTTCTTTAAGCAAATTTTTGTTTTGTAGTTCAATCTTTTCCACTTCTCCCTGGCAAGAAACAAAGTCGTTTGGTCAGACAGGAGCACTGACAAGCTCCACCCTGTGCTATTTGGAATGAAGAGCAAAGCAAGCTGAGCCCTGCACAGGGAACAGTGTCCCTGCCTGTGCCTTCACTACTAGCGCAGACCAGAGCGCTGCTTCCCTCTCCCCAGCCTGCCCAAAGCTGACCCTCAGCCCGGTTCCTGAACACTGAGCACATACTGCCCTGACCTCTGGAGATGCTCAACGCCTTCTGTGTCTGCAGAA